GCGCTGCCGGCCCGGGCACAATCCGAGCTGGATCTGGTTCCCTGCTCGGGTTACGGCGCGCTCTCGGCCCGGGCGGCTTCACTTAAGCAATTAGCCAGTAAAAATACCTTGGGTTTGGGGAGTGGGAGACATGGCAGGCGTGTCTGATTTTACACCCCCCTCCCCATTTTGGGGTTCCTGGGGCCGGCGCTGGAGCGCAGATTGGATTTGGGATGGGTGGGTGTTCTTGATAGCTCTCTGCGCTAAGAGCAGAAAGCTGCCCGAATCCCTGTCTGCGTTTTCTCCGACAGTCCCTGCAGCTGGGCCCCTGGGGGTTTTGTTTGTTTCTGTCTGTTTGGATAGCCTGTCTTTCTCTGCACAGTCTCGTCCAATCCTCCCAACAGCCCTAAGAAATAGACGCCATTATTCGTCCCATTTTTTTAGATGAAGACACTAAGTTACAGCATGGGGCTTATAGCTAACAACACTGTATCATATACTTAAACGTTGCTAAGAGAGGTCTTCAACGTTCTCACGCCCCCCAAAAAAGAAGAAAAGAAAAGAAAGAAATGGTAACTACGTGATGGGATGGTGTCATTTTGCAACATATACATGTATCAAATCAACACTCTGCACACCTGAAACATACCCAATGAGTTAACTGTATCTCAATAAAGCTGGGGAAAAATCAACCAATAAATCCCACCCTCCCACTCCCTGCCAAAAAAAGACAAGAAACAAATGCACAAATGGCTTATGCAACATCACTACATAGCGGAGACTGGATTCAAATTCGGACCACGATTGTGAGTCTGCACGCAGACAGTCTCTGCCCTGTACTCCGGAGGCTTAACCACCCCCGTCCTGCTCAGACCTGGATTTGTGTCCTGCCTCTGCAGGGTGACCTAGGACATGAGGCAATGTCACTGAGCCCATCTGTAAAGGGAGGGATAATATTGACCTGGTAGGGTCATCTGTGAAGGTTAAACAAGTATCCTTGGGGTGTTTAACCACAGTCCTGGGTTCGTGGATGGGAGGTTGTGGATTCATGCGCGGGCTCCAGGCATTTGGTGAAACCTTGAAAATCATTCTACAAATGTCGCAGGTATCTTTCCTCTGGAAGGGGTGGGGGTAGGGTTTTAGTTTTCAACAGTTTATCAGAGGGATTCACAGCCCAGAAAAACATCAAGCACATCTGAGAGGTGTTTATAAGGCGAAGCTCAGTACCGGGTGCATGGCCAGCAACCGATAAATCCTATTATCATCGTGTGTCTGTGGCGGTGGTTATTATTTTATCACCGTCGATTCTCCAATGGGTCTCAGGGCCCTTGAGCCTAGAAAGCCAGGGGTAGGGGCAACAGAAGCATCTCTAAACACCCCTCTCTCTCCACTCTCGGCCTGTAACGAGGCATCTGGGAGGGTAAAATTCGACGACAGTCAGCCCTTGGAGGCGGAGCAAACCACAGAGAGATGCTCGCTTGGCAGCGCTGGCTGACGCAGGCCAGGGCCTCAGTTTCTCCATCCCCCAAAGGCAAGATCAGGAGCGACCTCTCAGGGCATCTTAAGAGCCGAAAGCTTAGTCTCTGGCCGTCTGGAAAAGCCCTCCTTGCCACGGCTGTGGCTCTTTCCAGAACTGGGGGGTGGGGGGAACCTCCAAACCACACAGCTGGAACTCATTCCCCTCCACTTTACCTCCTGCCCCAGTGGAGATGCGGGGTTGGGGGAGAGAGCCTCTGTCTGCCGCATTCCTGAGGTTCCGAGGCCGTTCAGCCTCTCCCTGGGCACAGCAACTGCTGGCCTTCCCCGGCAAAGTCTATTCTACTGTTAGACCTCAGGGGTAAGTGGAGGCCAGGCGGGGCCCTGACTCCACACTTCCTCCCAGGAAGGCCGAAGCTTTCCCACCCCAAAACACACAAGAGCCCGCAAAGGGAGCCGCTGAGAAACAGTGATGTGCAGGAGTGAGGGAAACTGATCTGTGGGTTAGCTGAAGACGGAATCTGTAGCCCTCTCCCAACTAGAGGGGGCCTAAGGGGGAAGGGGGCTACTGGAAAAAGGGGCCCCAACTTCATGCTCTATAGAGCCCCTCATTTTGGAGCGTCCTGTCAGTGGGGGAGGAGCGAGAGAAAGGGAGGGGTTACTATCACTTTCTGGGAGCCTCGGGGCTGTGCGTTGCACCCCTCGCTGCCTTGAGAGTGGGGCAACCTCCCCCAATAGCCTCTCTTCTAAAGGCCAGATGTGCTCCCGGCAGCTGGTAGTAGCGACCCCTTCTCGGGAACTTCCCTCCCAGCGCCGCGGGGCCTCCTACCCTGGAGCTGCCGTCTGGCGGGGGGGGGGGGGGGGGGGGCAGAGACGGGGGGGGGGGGGGGAAGTGATGGAGAGAGAAATGTGAGATTGCGTGTGCGTGGACGTGCGCGCGCGCGAGTGGAGCGGCCGTGCGTGTGCGTGTGCGGCGGGCTGTGCGTGGGCGAACGCGCAGCGCAGGAGTGTGTGCACGTAACCGAAAGTGTGTCCTCGGCGGTGGGCAGGCCAGAGCGCTCGTGCAACGGTTGGGGCGCCTGAGCTGTGTGAGGGGTGTTCTCTGACGTATGGAGGCCGAGGCCGTGCGCGGTGCTCGGGATGCCTGCGGTCGGTGAATGCTGGCTGGGCTCTGGGAAGTGGGAGTGGGTCTGCCAGCGCGCGTCTACCTGCGCGAAGACAACCGCACACGACGCGGTCACACCCCACACTCACCCTTCCCCTGCCGACCGACCCCTGCCTGCGTGCGGAGCCGAGGCCGGGAGAGCCGAGCGAAAGCGCAGCGCAGAGCAGCTGGCTTTCTAGTCTCCCGCGAGCGCGCTCCGCCAGGGCAGGCTACGCCGCCGAGACCCCCAGCTCCTCGCATGGACGTGCCAGGCGTCCCGAAGGCGACGAGGCGTCTACCGCCGAAGCTGAAGGCGTCGGAGCGAGGAGGGGCGTCAGCGGGTTGACAAGGAGGCCCGAGAAACCCGAGAGGCCGGTGGGCTTTGAAAAGCGCCCGCGGGGCCGCACTCCGAGCCCGGCACACGCCTCTCACCCCAGCTCGCGCCGCGGCACGGCGTCCTGGCTCCTCGCGACGACCCGCGAAAACACCCCTCGCCTCCCTCCTCCGAAGTCTGCGAGCGAACAGCACTCACCTGGGTCCCCGCGTGCGGCGTTGCGCCCGGCTCCTGCGCCATCCTGCGCTCGGCGCCACCGTCCCCCCTACCCCGTCCTAGCCCGCACCCCAGCGCCGGGAGGTTGGCGGGGTAAGGCTGCGTGCGAGCCCCCCGCTGCGGGCAGCCCGGCGCGCGAGGGCCGCCCGGGCCCATGCTCCCCGCCCGCGCCGACTGCTTTCCGGAACCTGGCCTGGCGCTCAATGTCAGAGGCCCCCGCGGCGGCGGCAGGCCGAGCCCACAGGGGCATTAGGCCAACTCCCCCCGCGCACGCGGAATTCTCTATTATTATTATTAAAGAATCCCCCAGAATGTGTTTACGTTGAGCCGTATAAACTTCCTGCCAGGGCCTTTACCATCTGCGAGAAATCGGAACCTGCTCTTGGGAAGCGGGGACACAGGGACTGCGGGGCCAAATAGGCGGGTTTTCAGTGTGTATGCTGGGGGGGGGGGTGTCAACTGAGTTACGTGTGAGCTCAGATCAGCGTGGCTAGTGTGCACGAGTGGGAGTAGGTGCGAATTGAAGCTCCTGTGGGCCTTCTGTGTGCGCGTGAGTGAGCGCACGAGTGGGCACGCACACGCCTGAGCGCCGTGTGCGCGTGAGTGGGAACGAAGGCGTGGGTGTGAGTTTGCACGTCTGAGTCTGCGAAATTTACCGGGTTTGCATGTGCATCAGTGTATGCATGTGTGTGCACGAGTGCACAAGTAAGTGAACGAGCGTGGCCGCCTGTTCGGGAAGCCCGTGAGATGTTGGTCTCCGCAAGGCCAGAGGTTCTCACTCGCTCCCCGAACAGCCCGCGGCGCCGGAGACAAAGCGGCAGCGACCCGCCCTGCGCTTTCGTTTTCCGCCCGCCGCTCGGCTCCATCGGCTGCCCGCCCGCCC